CTTACCCTTGTGGAAGTTGTTTCCATGCTTTATAACGATTAATTCTAGACACAGAAAATAAATTGACAAATCTAATCTGAGCTAATAGACTTAACCGAACTGTCACTTCCCTTAGTTCTGCAACAATTAGTGACTAATGTGAGTCACATTGCCTTTTGGGATTTGCTGGTAGAGTTAGTGGTTACATGGAAGGCTCAACGTGGGCTCAGTAACCTTGTGACGTGTCAACTCCCCACCCGTGCACTCTTAACACACAATCATGGCTGCTTCTTTCCTCCCCTTCCCTCTCCTGAGGTTGCTTATATTCCAGATTCGGGAGGAAGAATGGGTTTGACGTCAAATCTAAGTATTTACTATATATTTAATTTAGTAGATTCCCTTTATTGTGCAACTAGCCATAAAACAGGTGTATTTTATATTAAATTAGCCAAAACGTTGGCTGAACTATTGTGTTTGACACTGGATACATAACCCCATTTTCTGTAGCTTTTATATAACTAACTAATGTAAATTAACAACATTTTTATGGCTGCTACTTTAGAGTTTGTATATGAAGAGGAAATTTTCCATAAGCATAATCTTGAGCATACCTTGTCTACTATGAGCATATTCTTGAGCATACCTTTAGTGTACCTTGAGTATAACCTTGAATATACATTGAGTCTACTTTGAGTAGAACCTTGAGCATGCCTTGAGTAATAAATTTAGGCTAACCTTGATTGTTCCATGACTACCTAAAGCATAGCCTTGAGAATTTAAGTATAACCTTAGACATACCTTGATTATTACCTTGAGAATTCTTTCAGCCTACATAAGTATAACTTTGAGCATACCTTGAGTCTACATTAAGTATAACCTTGAGCATACCTTGAGCATAACCTTTATTATAACCCTAAGTTTACCTTGAGTCTACCTTGAGTATAACCTTGATAATATCTTGAATCTAACTTGAGTATAAACCTGAGTTGACCTTGAGTATAACCATGAGCATATCTTGAATCTAACTTGAGTTTAAACCTGAGTCTACCTTAAGACTACTTTGACTCTACCTTGAGTCTAGTTCCAGCCTACACCTCAGGTATCAGCAGAGATGAACACCAGAATATCCGGTTGTAAACAAACATTTAAATAACAATAAAATAATCAATTTAAAACAATGATTGTCCGGTAAACTTAACAAAGATGGGGGTTGAGAAGGTGATGCAGTTATGATGAGAAGGTGAGGTAATTATCCTGAGCTGAGGTAATTATGCTGATGTGAAGTAATTCTACAGAGACGGTGAGGCAATTTTACTCAGAAAGGTGAGGCAATTATCTCAGGAATAAGTAAGGAATCAATCCTGAGAAAGGTAAGGTAATTACCCCTGAGAAGGTAAGATAATTATCCTGAGAAGGTGAGGTAAATATCACGAGAAAGGTAAGGAAATGATCCTGAGAAAGAGGAAGTGATTATCATGATCAAAGAAATGTAATTTTTCTGAGAATGGTAAGATAGTTCCCTGAGATTGTGACGTTATTTTTCTAAGAAAAGTGAAGTAATGATCTTGATAATGTTAAAAAAATTATCCTTTGGAAAGTGAGGTAATTATCCTAAGTATGGTAAGGTAAATATCCTGAGAAAGTCATAATTATTCTGAGAAAGGTAAGGTCCTCAGAAAGTTAACAGTAATTATCCTAAGAATGGAAGGGTATTTCTAATCCTCAGAGAGGTAAGGTGATTATCCTTAAAATGTATGATAATTATTATGAGGAAAGTATGAGTAATTATCCAAAGGATGAAAACAACTAATTACTCTGAGATATATAATGCATTATCCTGAGAAAGGTAAGATAATTATTCCAATATAAGTAATTATCACTGGAATGGTAACGTAATTATTCTGAGTAAGTTAAGAAAATTATCCTGTGAGAGGAAACGTAATTACCCTGATTGTTATAAGGTAATTATATTGAGAGAGAGAAGGTAATTACCCTGGTTGTTATAAGGTAAATATACAGAGAGAGAGATAAGGTAATTATATTTGGAAAGATAAGTTATTGTACAATAATTATCCTGAGAAATTTAAGGATTAGGTAATTTTCCTGATAAAGTTAATATAAAATAATTATCATGAGAGAGGTAAGGAAATGGCCAGAAAAAGGTAAGGTACAGTAATTATCAGTACCTTAACTGACCTTAAGGTGAGTTAAGGTAATCATGAGGAAAAAACCCTAAGCCAATATGGCTGGTTACGACTTGGAAGGCATATGATATTAGGACAAGGAGCCGGAATATGAGACCGGGGTGACGGAGCAGTGACCATCCACTTTCACCACAGTCCATCGAACTGCCACCATGCAAGCAGCGAGGCCGTCACTTCACCGATAAGTCAAGTATACATTCCTGAAGAAGAAGAAAGGAAATGTCACGACTGTGGAGAAAAACTTGACAGACCACATCATTATTATCAAAAGCAGGCCAGGAACATCCGGCAGGTAGTCTTCCCCCGACACTAAACATCCGGCAGGTAGTCTTCCCCCGACACTAAACATCCGGCAGGTAGTCTTCCCTGGACACTAAACATCCGGCAGGTAGTCTTCCCTCGACACTAAACATCCGGCAGGTAGTCTTCCCCCGACACTAAACATCCGGCAGGTAGTCTTCCCTCGACACTAAACATCTGGCAGGTAGTCTTCCCTCGACACTAAACATCTGGCAGGTAGTCTTCCCTCGACACTAAACATCTGGCAGGTAGTCTTCCCTCGACACTAAACATCCGGCAGGTAGTCTTCCCTCAACACTAAACATCTGGCAGGTAGTCTTCCCTCGACACTAAACATCTGGCAGGTAGTCTTCCCTGGACACTAAACATCTGGCAGGTAGTCTTCACCCGACACTAAACATCCGGCAGGTAGTCTTCCCTCGACACTAAACATCTGGCAGGTAGTCTCCCCTCGACACTAAACATCCGGCAGGTAGTCTTCCCTCGACACTAAACATCTGGCAGGTAGTCTCCCCTCGACACTAAACATCCGGCAGGTAGTCTTCCCTCGACACTAAACATCCGGCAGGTAGTCTTCCCTCGACACTAAACATCTGGCAGGTAGTCTCCCCTCGACACTAAACATCCGGCAGGTAGTCTTCCCTCGACACTAAACATCCGGCAGGTAGTCTTCCCTCGACACTAAACATCCGGCAGGTAGTCTTCCCTCGACACTAAACATCCGGCAGGTAGTCTTCCCTCGACACTAAACATCCGGCAGGTAGTCTTCCCTCGACACTAAACATCCGGCAGGTAGTCTTCCCTCGACACTAAACATCTGGCAGGTAGTCTCCCCTCGACACTAAACATCCGGCAGGTAGTCTTCCCTCGACACTAAACATCCGGCAGGTAGTCTTCCCTCGACACTAAACATCCGGCAGGTAGTCTTCCCTGGACACTAAACATCCGGCAGGTAGTCTTCCCTGGACACTAAACATCCGGCAGGTAGTCTTCCCTCGACACTAAACATCCGGCAGGTAGTCTTCCCTGGACACTATTCTGACCTCCAATAAGTATACTGTATCCAGCAAGTATACTTACCTCCAGTAGGTATACTTACCTCCAGTAGGTATACTTACCTCCAGTAAGAATACTGTATCACAGAATGTATACTGACTTCATGTAAGCAATTATACTGTAATACAGTAAGTATACTGACGTCCAGTAAGTATTGTGTAATGTAGTAAGTATTCTGTAATCTGAACCAGTTCAGGTTTATAGTAATTTCTCGGTTGATAAACTGAGGCAACGGCAGCACCCGGTTGATGTACACTGAGGCAACGGCAGCACCTGGTTGATGTACACTGAGGCAACGGCAGCACCTGGTTGATGTACACTGAGGCAACGGCAGCACCTGGTTGATATACATTGAGGCAACGGCAGCACCCGGTTGATGTACACTGAGGCAACGGCAGCACCTGGTTGATATACATTGAGGCAACGGCAGCACCCGGTTGATGCACACTGAGGCAACGGCAGCACCCGGTTGATATACACTGAGGCAACGGCAGCACCCGGTTGATGCACACTGAGGCAACGGCAGCACCTGGTTGATGCACACTGAGGCAACGGCAGCACCCGGTTGATATACACTGAGGCAACGGCAGCACCCGGTTGATGCACACTGAGGCAACGGCAGCACCCGGTTGATGCACACTGAGGCAACGGCAGCACCCGGTTGATATACACTGAGGCAACGGCAGCACCCGGTTGATATACACTGAGGCAACGGCAGCACCCGGTTGATATACACTGAGACAACGGCAGCACCCGGTTGATATACACTGAGGCAACGGAAGCACCAGGTTGATATACACTGAGGCAACGGCAGCACCCGGTTGATATACACTGAGACAACGGAAGCACCCGGTTGATATACACTGAGGCAACGGAAGCACCAGGTTGATATACACTGAGACAACGGCAGCACCAGGTTGATATACACTGAGACAACGGCAGCACCAGGTTGATATACACTGAGACAACGGCAGCACCAGGTTGATATACACTGAGGCAACGGAAGCACCAGGTTGATATACACTGAGACAACGGCAGCACCAGGTTGATATACACTGAGACAACGGAAGCACCAGGTTGATATACACTGAGACAACGGAAGCACCAGGTTGATATACACTGAGACAACGGAAGCACCAGGTTGATATACACTGAGACAACGGAAGCACCAGGTTGATATACACTGAGACAACGGAAGCACCAGGTTGATATACACTGAGACAACGGAAGCACCTCTTTGTTTGACATTTCTAATAAACGAAAAGCGGAACAAATGAATGCAAATTTCATACAATCTTTCAGAAAAAACATCATCTTCACAGAGACACAACTAGCCTTGAGAAGTTAAAGAGGAAGATCAGTGTGACGTGAGAACAATGTGGGACATTACCGTTGTGACGTCTGGCAACTCTTCCTCCGGATCTTATATGAGAGCTGGAGATCCCGCCCACACACCAGTGTCAGACTTGTTGTCTCCGGAGGAAGGTGAGCTATGTTCTTCTTTTTAACGGAGTGTTCACACTCTATACATACTGAGATACAATTATCAGCATATAGTAAAGATAGCTAGAGTAGTAATGGGATAGTGGTGAGAGAAGCAGTGTTAATGGTAGTGGTGAGAGAAGCAGTGTTAATGGTAGTGGTGAGAGAAGCAGTGTTAATGGTAGTGGTGGTAGAGACACTCCACCTAACATGTCTGAGATTCTTGAGTGTGGTAGCAACATGAGCCCATTGTCCTATTTTTCCTCCCAAGGTTCCGATCTGCCAGGTGTTGAAGACCACGTGCTGAAGACCACGTGTTGAAGACCACGTGTTAAAGACCACTGCTGAAGACCACGTGTTGAAGACCACGTGTTAAAGACCACTGCTGAAGACGACGTGTTGAAGAGGCGTAGCAAGGATGCCATCACTGGTCGGGACCTCCGCCCTGCTTGTCCTGGTGACTTGTTCATCTTATGGTCAAGTTGTTCGTAAGTTGCCTGTTGTTGTTGTTTCTTAGTTGTTGTGCTTCACATGTTTGTTGTTTGTTGTTTGTGTCACGTGGAGGGTGGGCCGGGGCTCTGCTAGCACTCAGCTGCTAGGGACTCAAAAGGCCATGTACTCAGCCCCTTCGACTCCCGGGATTCACCGGAGTCTCCTTGGTCACAAAGGAGAGGACCAACAATGCCCACCTCCGCAGGTCTTTGCCTCCACCACAAAAGGAGTGCCACTGATTCACCCTGGAAGCCCTTCAGTCAAACACGGGGGAACTACTGTTAACAGTTCCGGCCTAGACCCGTGGGGGAGTGAAGGAAGACTCAGTCTTTCCTTATAACCATAACCTCCCTGAGTCTTGCCTGCCAGACAAAAAGGTTGCAGGAACTCCTTTCCTGCCTGTCTTCTCTATCTTCTTCTTAACAAGGTCGCCAGCTGGGTTATTATATCTGCACCCCAGCAATGCAGTTCAGTGGGTGTATTATATATTGTTTATAGCCAGAAGGTTGCTACTCCCATAGATCTGCTACTAGAATGTCGGCCCAGGGTACTCTCCCAGGAAGGTCTGTGGGGCTTTACCTCTCTCTAGCCACCACGTTAATAGTTGCCACCATTCAGGCACTGATACTGATCGGATGGCTAAGGGTACACTTTTATGTAAGTCTGTGCTGTCTTTACCACACTCCAGGCAATAAGAACTTCTATAGAGAACGTAGTGTTCCCTAGGTGGTACTATGATAACCTTCGTGTATGCTCATAGAGAAATATTATAAATGGAGGCACACTTAAACACAATGATAAAAGTGTGAATTTACTGATGCAAATTACATGATCACACGTACAATCAGAAGTAATACATGAATATGAAAATAAGGATAATAAGTCTGGAGATCGTCAGCCTCTTCTTCCACGACCTCCAACACTCCTTCAACTGGGCAGAAGGACAGGAGTCCCACACACTCTCACAGGAGGGCCTCTTCACCACGTCGGCGCCTCTTCTTCACTGTCCTGCCATCCATCCATACACACTATCCTCTCTGACAGTCCTGGACACAAGCTGCCTTGCAGCCTATTCTACTACTAAAGTATTAATGTCCTATTGCCACATATATAAGTAAATATTGTGGCCTAACTAGCCTACTCACACAAGGGGTAATGGGAGGGAAAATGATCTACCTTACATTCCTGGCTCACGACGCCTGTCCCTCGATGGTGTGAGGTTCCCACGCTTCCTGAGTCGATCCTCGACGATCCAGGAACTTCCACAGGTCCTCAGGTGTCGTGGAGCCTTCGCGTCGTCGCCGTTCCAATCCCTGAGATTCAGCTACCCCAATCCTGGTTCATCGATAGGCGCTGAGCTAACCACTAATTTCCCACACTCGCCCCTTCCACAAGGCGTTGCTCCTTGTCCTAGGCACGGTGTCGTCCTTCCAAAACCCTCAGTGGATGTGACCCTGTCACAGCTAGGCTTGCCCGCCACACCTTTTCAGACCCTCAACGTCCAGCGTCGCCGCCCAGCGTCGTCGCCGAATATTTTCCAAGTTTGGCACTCTTTCGCTCAATAAACTTGGTTCCTTTTTGCTTCCCGGAAGCGCGGGGTCTCCAATATATCCGATGGGCTGCGATAGCCTGCACTAATCCACTAAGAAAGGCTTGTAGAGCCTCTAATCCTTGAGAGCTAACCGAGGTGCGTCCTGTCGCTTCCAAGGTCAGGTCAACTCTGACGTTGGCGCCGCCCGGGGCACTCGGTGACGTCACGGCGGGCCCTGATTGGTCGCCCGGGACCTAAGTCGGCCAATCCGCGATCGGCTAGTGTCCCTTCCAAAAGGTCATATCTGCATTAGGGGATACTCTTTCATTTTATATCAGGGCGCCAATTTCCCCTTTTTACAACTTATAATGTAACGTTTTCCCTTAACTGGCAGCCGGTCTGGTCGCCACATATATCAATAGACTCCCTGAACCTCAGAGAATCAGTAGGGAGAGCTGATATGACTCTTAAAGCCGGCCAACGAAAAAATATAGGAGAGGGCACCGTAACAGTTGTTATGCTTCACTTGACTTTTGTTGTGCTTCACGTGTTTGTTGTTTGTTGGGTGTTATGCTTCACATGTTTGTTGTTTGTTGGTTGTTATGCTTCACATGTTTGTTGTTTGTTGGTTGTTATGCTTCACATGTTGGTTGTTTGTTGGGTGTTGTGCTTCACATGTTGGTTGTTTGTTGGGTGTTGTGCTTCACATGTTGGTTGTTTGTTGGGTGTTGTGCTTCACATGTTGGTTGTTTGTTGGGTGTTATGCTTCACATGTTGGTTGTTTGTTGGGTGTTATGCTTCACATGTTGGTTGTTTGTTGGGTGTTGTGCTTCACGTGTTTGTTGTTTGTTGGGTGTTGTGCTTCACATGTTGGTTGTTTGTTGGGTGTTGTGCTTCACGTGTTTGTTGTTTGTTGGGTGTTGTGCTTCACATGTTGGTTGTTTGTTGGGTGTTGTGCTTCACATGTTGGTTGTTTGTTGGGTGTTGTGCTTCACATGTTGGTTGTTTGTTGGGTGTTGTGCTTCACATGTTGGTTGTTTGTTGGGTGTTGTGCTTCACATGTTGGTTGTTTGTTGGGTGTTGTGCTTCACATGTTGGTTGTTTGTTGGGTGTTATGCTTCACATGTTGGTTGTTTGTTGGGTGTTATGCTTCACATGTTGGTTGTTTGTTGGGTGTTGTGCTTCACGTGTTTGTTGTTTGTTGGGTGTTGTGCTTCACATGTTGGTTGTTTGTTGGGTGTTGTGCTTCACGTGTTTGTTGTTTGTTGGGTGTTGTGCTTCACATGTTGGTTGTTTGTTGGGTGTTGTGCTTCACATGTTGGTTGTTTGTTGGGTGTTGTGCTTCACATGTTGGTTGTTTGTTGGGTGTTGTGCTTCACATGTTGGTTGTTTGTTGGGTGTTGTGCTTCACATGTTGGTTGTTTGTTGGGTGTTGTGCTTCACATGTTGGTTGTTTGTTGGGTGTTGTGCTTCACATGTTGGTTGTTTGCTAGTTGTTATGCTTCACATGACTTTTGTTATGCTTCACATGTTGGTTGTTTGTTGGGTGTTATGCTTCACATGTTGGTTGTTTGTTGGGTGTTATGCTTCACATGTTGGTTGTTTGTTGGGTGTTGTGCTTCACATGTTGGTTGTTTGTTGGGTGTTGTGCTTCACATGTTGGTTGTTTGTTGGGTGTTGTGCTTCACATGTTGGTTGTTTGTTGGGTGTTGTGCTTCACATGTTGGTTGTTTGTTGGGTGTTGTGCTTCACATGTTGGTTGTTTGTTGGGTGTTGTGCTTCACATGTTGGTTGTTTGCTAGTTGTTATGCTTCACATGACTTTTGTTGTGCTTCACATGTTGGTTGTTTGTTGGGTGTTGTGCTTCACATGTTGGTTGTTTGCTAGTTGTTATGCTTCACATGACTTTTGTTATGCTTCACATGTTGGTTGTTTGTTGGGTGTTATGCTTCACATGTTGGTTGTTTGTTGGGTGTTATGCTTCACATGTTGGTTGTTTGTTGGGTGTTGTGCTTCACATGTTGGTTGTTTGTTGGGTGTTGTGCTTCACATGTTGGTTGTTTGTTGGGTGTTGTGCTTCACATGTTGGTTGTTTGTTGGGTGTTGTGCTTCACATGTTGGTTGTTTGCTAGTTGTTATGCTTCACATGACTTTTGTTGTGCTTCACATGTTTGGTGTTTGTTGGTTGTGTTTCACATATTTGTTTGTTGTTTTGCATCAGATGTTTGTAGTCGGTAGTTGGTGTGCTTCACATTTTTTTGTTGTTGGTTAATTGTACAAGTCGACCTGAAGCTCCCGGTTGTACAGTCGGATTCGTTCTCGACCCAAAATCGAGAATTCCGGGTTCGAATCCCGGGCGGGACAGAAATGGTTTGGCACATTTCCATTCACCTAATACACTGTTCACCTAGCAGTGAGTAGGTACTCAGGAGTTAGACAGCTTGTTGTTGGGGGTCATCCTGGGCGGGGTACAGGATGAGGAAGTAGAGGCCAATGATGACTCTCACTCCTCTAATATGGTCCAAATTTTTCTTCCCATTTCACTGTCATTTTTCTGCTTATTAATGATCAGTGTTTTGTGACAGTAAATATGAATGTTTTTTACGTTACATTTTCATAATAAACTTTAATATGTAGAATACATTACAAAACAATTGTTTTTAATTGCAAGTGACTTCTGAACAAATTGTAATTTATTTATTTATTTATACTTATTTATATATACAAGAGTTGTTATAATCTTGTACTGCCACTAGCATGCATAGTGTCTTGGGCAGATCCTTAATCCTAATTTTCCCAGGAATACGACCTGCCAAATCGTTTAACAACCAGGTACCAATTCACTGCTGGGTGAACAGAGGCTACAGTTAAGGATTGGCGTCCAACCAATCCTCTTCAGCCAGGATACGAACCCTGGCCAAATTGCTCGCGAAGCGCCGGGCGAGTGTTTGGCCACTGCACAATGGGGATTAAACACGTGTATAAATATACCACATCTTCGTCAATCCCAGACCATGTCACAGTAATGAATTTTCAAAACAGAGCCAACGAGCACCATCTGCACTGCCCTCTGCGTCAACGAGAAGAAGCCAGTCTGTGGCTCAAACCATGTCACCTACGACAATGACTGCCTGCTGCTTAAAGCTGCCTGTGTTAACCATGGCCTGAGGAAGCTGCATGATGGCCCTTGCAGTGAGTACTTTTATTCTTTATCGTATCTTTATGTGTATTAAATGGCGTGCACTGACATCAAGATGTAATTAAGAATAACGTCGCAGGTGTTAGACATTGAGAAACTAAGTCTTTGAGAATGTGAGGGGAGACCTTACGGATCGCATCACTAGGAGTCAGACCCAAATGAAAATTAAAAATGAACTTTGGAGAATTAATTTTTAATCTTCCTGCTTCAGTGAAGAAAAACATATGGAATATCGAGAAGATTCGTGCCAGAATCATAAATCTAAAACTTTCTGTTGTTTTCAATGAAATATGTTTAAGAGAGACTGCTACCAAAATATACTAATATATATATATATATATATATATATATATATATATATATATATATATATATATATATATATATATATATATATATATATATATATATATATATATATATATAACTGAAAAACTCACACCCCAGAAGTGACTCGAACCCATGCTGCCAGGAGCAATGCAACTGGTATGTACAGGACACCTTAATCCGCTCGACCATCACGACCGGACATAAGGAGGTGATAGCCGAATCTATTTGAACCACCACCCCCTGCCGGCACTCAAATGGTAATCTTGGGCATAGTATTTTATCAAATCACCTCATTCTTTGGGGCACACATGAGGAACACAAATGCGAACAAGCCTGAATGGTCCCCAGGACTATATGCAACTGAAAACTCACACCCCGGAAGTGACTCGAATCCATAATGCCAGGAGCAAAGCAACTGGTATGTACAGGGCATCTTAATCTATTCGACCATCACGACCGGACATAAGGAGGTGATAGCCGAATCTATTTGAACCCCCCCCCCCCGCCGGCACTCGGATGGTAATCTTGGGCATAGTATTTTATCAGATCACCTTATTCTTTGGGGCACACATGAGGAAAACAAATGCGAACAAGCCTGAATGGTCCCCAGGACTATATGCAACTGAAAACTCACACCCCAGAAGTGTGCTGCTCCTGGCACTATGGGTTTGAGTCACTGAGGTTGCATGGATGAAACGCCATGCAACCTCTGAAGAGAAAACTAACACAACACCTGTACCTCCTATTAGACTATTTTACAGGAACTTCTTTTCCACAGCTCATAAAACGGAGGAAAGATATTAATAGGAACGTTATCCCTATAGACAAAAATCAGAAGATACAATTGACGATTTACTATAAAACCAAAAAAACGCCCAACCTACTCATGAGAAACTCTCCAGACACAAAGCAGAACGCTTTTAAAGAGACCAACGTCGTCTATGCCTTCAAATGCCCACTTGGGGACTGTAAGCCTCAAAGAACTCAGTATATAGGCTAGACAACAACATCTCTTTCCAGGTGATTAACGATGCATAAGCAACAGGGCTCCATTAAGGAACATATAATCTCTTCCCACAACCAGACCATCACCAGAGAAGTCTTAACAAACAAGACAGAAATCATCGATAGATACAGCGATATCAGGCAGCTTGACATCTGCGAGGCACTACACATCAAGAAGTCAACACCAGCAATCAACAGCCAATTAATGCACAACTATATTTTACCCACTTCAAGACTCCGCACCAATATTGAAGCATCAAGAAATATGGGCCAATAGGCCCTTTGCAGTTACTTTCATTCTTCCCTTTAATTTACCCAATGTATACCCATTGCACCGTGTTCTGTCTTGTGTTGAAAGTTTTGCTCACCTCATCCAAAACTTGTAACATATCACCTCACCCAAATGCGGGTATATAAGATGAAAGTTGTTTAAATGATAGCATAGTAGAACTCTAGTGTTTGCAGGTTATAGTTGTGTGTGTGTGAACTAAAGTCTTTGAAAATGTAATAAGTTATGACGAAACGCGTTCAAGTGTCTCGTAAGACTAGAAATAAAAATGAATTTTGGAGAATTGATTTTTCAGTTACCATCTACAGTGAAAAGAAACATAAGAAATATTGAGAAAATTCATGTTAGAATTATTAATCTTACTTTTTTGGTCACATTTAATAATATATATATATATATATGTCGTACCTAGTAGCCAGAACGCACTTCTCAGGCTACTACGCAAGGCCCAATTTGCCTAATAAGCCTAGTTTTCATGAATTAATTGTTTTTCGACTACCTAACCTACCTAACCTAACCTAACCTAACTTTTTCGGCTTCCTAACCTAACCTAACCTATAAAGATAGGTTAGGTTAGGTTAGGTAGGGTTGGTTAGGTTCAGTCGTATATCTACGTTAATTTTAACTCCAATAAAAAAAATTGACTTCATACATAATGAAATGGGTAGCTTTATCATTTCATCAGAAAAAAGTTAGAGTAAATATATTAATTCAGGAAAACTTGGCTTATTAGGCAAATCGGGCCTTGCATAGTATGCCGAGAAGTGCATTCTGGCTACTAGGTACGACATATATATATATATATATATATATATATATATATATATATATATATATATATATATATATATATATATATATATATATATATATATATATATATATAGCCAGAACTCACTTCTACGTACTACGTAGAACTACGTACCTAGTAGCCAGAACTCACTTCTCAGCCTACTATGCAAGGCCCGATTTGCCTAATAAGCCAAGTTTTCATGAATTAATTGTTTTTCGACGACCTAACCTACCTAACCTAACCTAACCTAACTTTTTCGGCTACCTAACCTAACCTAACCTAAAAAGATAGGTTAGGTTAGGTTAGGTTAGGTTAGGTTGGGTTGGTTAGGTTAGGTCATATATCTATGTTAATTTTAACTCCAATAAAAAAAAATTGACCTCATACATAATGAAATGGGTAGCTTTATCATTTCATAAGAAAACAATTAGAGAAAATATATTAATTCAGGAAAACTTGGCTTATTAGGCAAATCGGGCCTTGCATAGTATGCCGAGTACGACGTTCTGGCTACTAGGTACGATATATATATATATATATATATATATATATATATATATATATATATATATATATATATATATATATATATATATATATAACTGAAAACTCACACCCCAGAATAGTCACAGGGGACCATTCTGGCTTGTTCGCATATATATATATATATATATATATATATATATATATATATATATATATATATATATATATATATATATATATATATATATATATATATATATATATATATATATATATATATATATATATATATATATATATATATATATATATATATATATATATATATATATATATATATATATATATATATATATATATATATATATATATATATATATATATATATATGTAAGGGGTACTACCTCTGGTGCAAGTGTAAGGACCCATAGCCTCGGAGAAGAAAATAAAGAGTACTCAGAGAAGACCTTGTGAATTCTCACTGAACACTTTGATATTTTCTCTTCCTACCACCCCTATTCTTTTGGTATGTGTGTATATTTATCTAACTTTATTTGAAAATGTCATTACACAGAAATAGTTACAATATTGATTACATGCAGGGTACGAGGTTGCTTGTCACAAGTTGAATAGCTCCTCCAGCTCCTCAGATGGCGGGCAGGAACCATGGATGCAGTGAGCATTTCCTCTCTGGATTGCCACACTAAGGTGCTGAAAAAGAATACTGGCAGCTCTAGGGTCTCTAGTTGTTTCGATTAGCTTAGACCCCAAATCCTTCAAAAAGCTAGCAGCACTTTTACCCCAGGCACCAAGTGTCTCTGAGGCAATGGGGACAAAATTGTAGTGGTGCTCAAGGTCTCTGTGTTTACGTGACTTGGCTGCTTCCCGGTGATTGGCAGTTCCTCCTGCTTGTGTAGCACTGAAGCCAACATAGGTATTGGGTAAAGTTGAAACGCAAGTGTAGTCCCACACCAACTGTCTACCATTCTTCCAGGGGTTCACCATGATTCCATCTGGGCGAACGACAGGCTCATCAGAGTTGCGGGACATTAGGTAACGGGGCTCTCTCTCTGCTGGACAACCGGCTGTGGTAAGGCTTCTTTTAATAATGTCATTGACCTCGCCGTGTCTTGCATGCCATCCTCCTGTCCTTTGGTAGAGAAGGCCTTGCCGTCCGTACCTGTCGGCCTCTGCCTCGCCGCAAATACACCTGTATTCGGTGTGAATTGGGGCAGCGAGGCGGAGAGCCACGGCAATTCGGAGGGCTTGCGGTGTGAGATGGGTGCCGGTTGCTGACATTGGGGTTGCTAATAGGAAATCACCTGCATGGGGAGCTGCTACAGCTCTAAGTCGGGCAGTGTCATGTGGTGTTGTCGCAGCTTCTAGCAAAGTCGCAGCTTCTTGGTCGGCAGTGAGGCGATTCCTGCTGGATTGCTTATGGGCTTCAGAAGGCGGTGGTTGGGGTGCTGGTCCTGCGAGAGAGACCCATTTGGTTGTGCAGTCTGTGAAGCTGGGATCATGTACCCCTGCCTGTTGAACTACATGCTCAGGTAGGATTTCCTTCACCAAGTTGTCAGACCCCACTGAAGAGGACAGGAACGCTGGTACAGAAATTTGTGTTGCTGTGCGCAAGCCAAGGCCCTCGAGTCTGACAGGAAGGGAGGCCTGTTTCCACTGTGAGTCGCTGAGGGAAAGATTGAGGGCTTTTTCTAGTGTTGATTTCAGCAAGCTGTCATACTCTTCTAATTTAAAATTGTTGAAAGATGGCGAACATCTTAGAAAGTAGGTCAGCCTGGGGAGGGACAAGCATCTGGTGATGAGGTAAAGTGCATCATGAGCATCGATGTCTTCAATCCTCTCGTTCATCCTCTTCAGGTCAGTGATCTTCTTACCAAGGACCCCGTCGATGGCATTCCTTCCAAGAGAAGCACCTAGGAGTGTGCTGTCCTCAGGGTTGGTTGTATGAATGTCAGGCAAAACAACCTTTATTTGCTCTATTATGTGCTGGTTGGTGGAGGTTATTTCGCATTTGGAAGGGTTCAGGGTGAGGCCTAGGCTTGCTCCTTGCTCCTGAATTATTCTTATGTCGT